ACCTGGTGCTGAGCAATTCTTGATCTTCCTTGCTCTTTTTTCTACCATTTCTGCTGTTATTACTAATTCTTTCATTTCAACTGCTTTTTTATTCTTATCCACCTCCTTTAACCAAGCTGCATTCTTGTTGTATTCTTTGGGTTATCCCATATCTGGTCATAGAACTACACTGTTTTTCCCTTATCAAGTAGTGTCTGATTCAGTCCAGCCTCTCCATTGATGATTGGTAGAAATGTTTCTGATTGGATTGAAATTGAAAGTTCTGCCTATAATTTGCATTTCACGCTTTGTGTCTGCTGATCTTTTTGGCTATAACTGTTATCTGCTGCTTTATTATTTTCAGTGCTTCCTTGATCTTCCTTATTTCTAAGTGGTATTTCTTAGAAAATTGCAGAAAATACTAACTATTGAAAACTAGAGAACCTGAAATAGATTTAACAAAGTATATTTTGCAAAGGCTAGTGAGCACTATATGTCTCAGAAAAAAATTGTCTACATAATTATTTTAAACTGTACAACCCATTTAAGCATTACCAGTCATTTACACATTTAGACATGTTATGAAGTGTTGCCCATAATTCTGAGAAGGAACATAGTTGAGAATTGTGTCCACAATAAACATGTTAATGTTTGGGAACCCAAAGTCCATCACATAATAAAATTGTTTTACACATTATTTACTGAATGAGAACATTTATTCTCATTCTTTTTAAAAGAAAGGCTAAGAAATAATTGGCCTTTTTTTATCCCAGTAACACTATCCTCATAGTTGGAATTTAATTAGGGATAGGTGAACATTGTCACAAGAACACACACAAAAGTTCCAGTTTAGATGCAATTCTTAGCACATCAGACTCGGAATGTGAAAACCCAGTTTCAAAGAGTTTCCAGTCTCAAGATTTTCTTTATTCAGGGAATAAATAGAAAACTGCTGCCTGTTATAATATTTACCCTGAAGTCACACATTTTAAAATATTATTTAATGCGGCAGCGTGGAGGCCAATCGCAGGAACGATGGGACAGCCGCGCATGGCAGAAACGCTTCCTGGGGCCAGAGGGGAGGCTGGAGAGATTGCCCCACCCACCACTGCCCAGATGCCCTCGCTACCCAAACCATTTTTCTGACCTTCTTTCTTCATCACATGCCTACCCCCTCCCCTGTTGCTGGAGAGCTGGCCCGGTATTCACAGCGGGCTGCGGAACCCCAGAGTCTGCTGGTTGAGGGGCTGGCAGGCTGTGGCTATTGACGGACACTGTCGGCCCCCATGTGCTCGCTGTCCTCTGTATGCGGGGGCCGATGGTGTCAAGGTGGCCCCTGCCTCGCCTTGCCCCGTGGCAATGGCACCCCCACCCTATCCCCTGCCTCGCCTCACCCTGCAGGACGAGCCTCCTGCCCACTGCACCACCTGCCAGAGACCCCCTGGATCTCCCCCAACACTGCCTGGCCCCCACAGGCGTCCCTCCCCACGAGCAACATTGAGGTGGCCATGCCCACCCTGGCCACGCCCACCCAGTCTGCCATGGCCACCATAGCCACGCCCACCCAGCGGGCCACACCCGCCCAGCGGGCCACGCCTACACGGCACCCGGCGAAACATAAGTGGGTTTTGGGTTGCAGTTTGGGCACTCGATCTCTAAAAGGTTCGCCACCACTGCCATATGGGGTTAACAAACAATAAAATAATCCTTGTTTCATTATCCACAGTTGTTAGGCTGGGATGGACCTCCGCAAATAACAGGGGCCACATCTACACACAGCCCACCAAGTATGCAGAGAGCGTATCTATAAATCACACAGATCCTGTAAAAATATTTGGAAGTAGCAGTCCAACCTTTTCTCAATATATCAGTTGTGGATAGTGTGAACCTGTTCATGTCTTAAAAATTGTATATTTGGTTATATACAGCCAAATGTGAACATCTTGTGAAGACTGCCCAATATTCTATTTGAGAGGGGCATTTTGCAGGGTGGCCACTCTTTTGTGTGTTTTGTGGATATAATCGTGTCTTCTCCTTCAGAAAAACAAATTAAGATTTCTTTCAATGCATTTTTTTCAATGGGAGAGCAGCATCAACTCCATAAATTTTATGGAGCGTCTGGAGAAGCCAAGCCGATTAAATATCAACTTAACTCCTGTTCCAGAGGAAATGCTCCAAAGACAATTTGGCAGTACTTCCTTGGAAGTTGCAGAGCAGACAGTCTTATTGGCAAAAACTCCTGCCTTGTTTTGTTTTCTGAAACTTCTCCCTTCACCTAGGTGTTAAGGCCTCTTTGTCCTTCCTGCTAACCCCTACCTTCCACCATCAACCAGCTCAAGAAAAAGAGGGGGAGGGCATCTGTGAGATGCTATGAAAATGTAACTTATGACTGACAGAGCTGGTGGTCTTCTAGAGATACTGAGGCTGAACATACCATTAGAGACAAGTGGACATGTGCAAGGTCATCACATAGCATCAAGGAAGTACAAGAGTTCTTTCTGACCAAGGAAATCGTATTCAAATGAGAATAAAATAAAAAAAGTAAATTTGCTCAGATCTAATTACAAGTCGGCAATAAAGGATGTAAACAAGGATTTTCATGAGCATACAACTAGTAAAATTGTTAAACAGGTAGAGTATAAAGAAGTAAAGTAAACACTGGAAGTACTGAACACTAGACATTTGTTGACAATTGAAAATAATAAGATCAGTGGGACTAGATGGATTAGTTTTAAAACAACAAAAATGTGAATTTGCTGTTCTTCTAACACAGAGTTTCATAATCTTGACAATCTTAAGATGTATAGATTTCAACTACTACAATTCTCCAACAAGCATGCTGGCTGGAGAATTCTGGGAATTGAATCCACATATCTATTGTCAAGGGTGAGAAACCTTAGCAAAAGGATGTGACTGGTCCTTGAATTATCCTTTCTACCAGAGACCTAAAAACGTCCAGTCTAATGCCAAGAAAGGAATCGAATCGTAGCCCAACATGGATGCTTTAAGACATACAGTAGCTCCATTGTATAATGTAAGTCAGGGGTCTTCAAACTTGGCCCTTTTATGAGTGTGGTTGCGCAGCAGTTCCCCCGACACCTGGAGGAAACAGTCTATCTAGACCCGCTCCAGTCGGGCTTCAGACCGGGATACAGCACGGAAACGGCATTGGTCTCATTGGTGAATGATCTCTGGAGGGCCCGGGACAGGGGTTATTCCTCTGTCCTAGTTCTTTTGGACCTCTCAGCGGCTTTTGATACTGTGGAC